TAAATCTCTTTAAACATTTGAAAGCAGCAATATCATGTACTCAACATATCACTGAAATTATTAATATGAATTTCACTGAAACCATTAATAACAGTCACTTTCAATAACATTTCAAAAATAACCAGTCAAATATTTTGGGCTCAAATTTAGAAAGGTAGCAGTTCGTAAATACATTTTAGTATAATTGTAAATCTAATATGTATAAAAAAAGAAATTCAAGAATACGGAATTATCACAATTTATGGGATGTCAATTCGCAAATAAACATTTCACAGACAATGCTATAATTAATTGCAAAAATATCAATTTTCAAATAATAAGGCAGTCATTTGCACATGAAATTTACAATGTCTAAATATTAAAAAACAGTAGAAAGAAATCTCACAATTTTACTAAAAGCAGAAATATCACATTTATTTCTAATAATTTTACAGTATCTAAAATTTTCTAACAATAGACAAGAAAAATAAATAAATTTATTTATAAGAATTTACAGCGTTTAAAATTTCTAACATAGATAAAATATCACAATTTTATTAAAAAGATTATTTTTCAAAATAATGAGGTCGCTTGCGTATAAATTTTATTGGGCCTAAAGTTCATGAAAATAAGCAGAAGTAATTATTTCATTTCATTTTTAAAAAGAACTGATTATTTTTCAAGATAATGAAGTCACTTACCTAAAATATTTGAGAAAGAGCTTCCGATAAAAATTCGACTAGAGAGAGGAGCTCACTCTGTTTGTAAGAGGGAGAGCGAGCAAGGAGTTGTTAGGCGCCGTCTTACCTTTCGTCCTATTCAATTTCTTTAAAACGCCTCCATCTCATGTATGAGGTGTCGCGTAATTGACCGCCGTTAATACCTGAAAACCACGTCCACTAAAGGACGTGGCAACGTAGCAAAAGCTTAAACTAAATGAAGGTAAAAGCTTTTGAAAGTAGTGATGGTCCCTAAGGACCATCATGCTCATGTGGACCATCACTTATTAAAAGTTTCTTTTCTTCTTCTTCTTCTTTCTTTTTTTTTTTTTTTTTTTTGTGAAAGTTTGGGATTGTTACATTCTTCACTTCTTAAAGAAATTTAGTCTTCTAAATTTGTGTACCTGATTACTGAAAAAGATAAGGATATTTTTATCTGATATCGTCTTCTCGTTCCCAAGTCGACTCCTCTCTTGAATAGTACTGCCATAATATACGGATCAAAAGAATCTCCTTGTTGCGCAACACTTGTACCCTTCTATCCAGTATCAAAATTGGCTGTTCAATGAAAGATAGGTCCTTCCTGATCGGTAAATGTTCATATTTCAAGATATGGGATGGGTCGTGCTGATATTTTTGTAGTGATGATACATGGAAGGTATTATGGACGTTTACCAATTCGGGTGGTAAGGCAAGTCTATAAACGACACCTCCGATTCTTTCCAAGATTTCAAATGGTCCAATGTAACGTGGGCTTAGCTTTCATTTCTTGTCGAATCTCATAATGCCTTTTATTGGTGAGATCTTTAGGAAAACTCGATCACCTTCCTCAAATTCAAGATCTCTCTGTCGGTTATCGGCATAAATCTTTTGCCGACTCTGAGCTGTCTTGAGTCTTTCTCGAATTAATGTTATCTTATCTGTGGTTACCTGGACAATTTCTGACCCCAAAAGCTTTATTTGACCAATCTCGTCCCAATAGCTGGGTGACCTGCATTTCTTTCCTTACAAGGCTTCATATGGTGTCATTTGAATACTAACTTAGAAGCTATTATTATAAACAAACTCAATAAGGGGTAAATGGTCATCTCAGCTTTTTGTAAAGTCAATGACACAGGCCCTCAGTATATCTTCCAAGGTTTGGATGGTCTTCTCTGATTAAGGTGAGTCTCGTCCCCATGGCTAACTGTAGCCTAGCCCAAAATTTAGAAGTAAATCAAGTATCCTTGTCCGATACAATACTGACCAAAACTCCATGCAACCGCACTATTTCCTTAATGTAAAATTGAGCTAGTAGTTCCAAAATGTACGTCGTACGAATCGGTAGAAAATGAGCAGCTTTGGTCAGCCGGTCCACAATGATCCAAATGCTATCATGTCCTGAATTCGTTCTAGGCAAGCTAGAGACAAAATCCATAGAGATGTGCTCCCACTTCCACTCTGGCACGAGTAAAGGCTACAACAACCCAGCGGGCCTTTGATGCTCAGCTTTTACTTGCTAGCATGTTAGGCACTTAGACACAAATAGTGCTACCTCTTTTTTCATATTATTCCACTAAAAAGTTTTTTTCAGGTCCTGATACATTTTAATACTTTTGGGATGTATCTTATAACGAGAGTGATGTGGTTCTTCCAAGATAGCTTTCTTCACACTCTCATCATTCGGGACACAAACTCGACCTTTGAATCTTAGCAATTCCTCACTATATATAGAGAATTCTTCTCTCTTTCTCAGCTTCACCTCTTCCACAATTGTTATATGCTGAGGGTCTTTTTTTTGTGCCCATCGAATCTGTTGGATTAATTGGGGTTCTACCTTAATGTTGGCAATCATACTTATCACACCATTAATGGACGGAGCCGGATGTCAATCCACTATTTCCTCTAACAATCTCATTTCTTGGATCATTAGATGACCTAAGACTCCCATAGATTTTCTACTTAGAGCGTCGGCCACAACGTTAGCTTTTCCTAAATGATAATGGATTGTACAATCATAATCTTTTAAGAAATCCATCCATCTTATCTGCCGCATATTTAAATCCTTCTGAGAGAAGAGGTATTTCAAGCTCTTATGATCCGTGTATATTTCGAATTGCTTACCATATAGATAATGCCTCCACATTTTCAAAGCGAATACTATTGCAGCCAGCTCCAAGTCATGAATTGGATATTTTTTTCTCATATTCTTTCAACTGTCTGGATGCATATGCCACTACTTTTCCATATTG